GCTATTTAAGCACATGGAAAGGAAAAAAATTGCCGTCCTCTTAAGCGCTTGCTCAGCCATTATATTTTCAATATAATGACTGGAATACAAACATGGACAAAAACATAGATTTATAAATTAAAACATTCTTAGTTTGTAAAATAAGTTAGTTCAAATGTTTTGACAGACATAACAATAAATGGAACTCATCAAATAAAGACAAAAAATGATGAGCTATTTTAAAGGTTACTCTTTAAATATACAGGATCTATATATATATCTGTAGTGAATCACAACAATGTTTAGGGGAACGCATGACCTTTGAAATGAAAGATTTTAGAGAAAAAAAATTTTATTTAAACTGAACCATGAAAATTCGGAGAAAATTTTATCTATTTCCAGCTCAAAAGTTTTAGCTTAATTTCTAAAAATGCAACCATTTAAAGGAATTTATCGATAAATACTTCAAAATAGAATTAAAATATTAAAAAAACACAGCAAAAAAATGTAAAAATTTAGAGATGAGCAGAATAAATTTCACTATTATCTACTGGCTCATAACAGTAATATAAATCATTATAAGGATTAGTTAGTGTTTAATTTTAGTAGTGTTAAGTAAAATTAAAACTCAATGATCTCTTATTCATTTTTTTTTCTGGCAGATATATGCATTTTTGGGAGCATTTTCAGAAAATTTATCCGAAAAAGTGAGATGCCAGAAAAAGGGAGAAGAAGAAAAAATATTTCATAACAATAAAAAATAACTTTTATGCAAATCATTGTAAAATTGACAATGTATTCATTAATTCCTTTACAAATTATTTTTATGATACAAATTCCAATGCCGAATACTAAATATACATTTTTTTAACTTTTTTATTGTTTGCCTTTTCGATTGAAGTTTTTTTTACTTGATGATTTTGAAGGAATCGTGTCAAAGGTTTGTCTAAATTTAATGAATCACTATTGCGCTTGACGCAACTAAAAACGTAAAAAACTGTTTTATTGCATAAAATGAAAAGAAATAGAAAGACTATTTCATATATAACAATATTAAGCTTTCCATAATTAATGATTATTACATGAAGAAATTCTTTAAAATTACCAGTATAATTATGACATTTCTGGTTTTGAAAAAAGAAGTAAAAACATAATTCCTGTTAATAAAACCAAAATAAACGATATTTAAATTATTCATTTGATAATTTTTCCGTTTATATAATAACGGTTTACAAGAAATTCTGATTTCCAATACTATGGTTCTTATTACCACACGTGAGGAAAAAATGCATAATTGCTAAGTAAACTTAACCGAATAAATGGTTTTTATGCCATGCTCTTAGGAAACGTAATACAATTACGAAATTTTACAACATTTACCATTACACATTATAAAGCCATATTTTATTGTTAAATTTATTGAAATCATTAACAAAGCGCTTCCAGAAAAATCATCGAGATATTTGGCGATTCAAGATCAAGAAACACGGCCATCTTCCGGGGGTTTTGACAATAGTTAGTGTATATTTCATAAATATTAATATATATATATATATTCTTGTGATTCAACAGATTTCGGTAAAAATGTTATCCAAAATATTAATTTGTCTTATTGTTTATAAATTTTTGACGTCATTTTTTCCAAGTGTTATTAAAAATATAAAAAGCAGCGGTAACGTAACACAAAGTATTCGATAAAAAAAAAAAAGCTTTAACTCAGTTCATCTCAGCTTTTCAGAAGACACACAGAAAAATAATTGCTTTCTCAGGAAGAAAAAAATTCATTTTTTCAGAAACAAGAGAATAAATAGAATAAAAATAAATATCTCATAAAATCTCTTTCTTTAATAACTTTAATAATATTTTTTTTCAATAATTTTAATGATTTAAATTTTAATAAAAATACGGGACCATTCAATGCTGCAAACAGTAAACATTGTTATCTTCTCTTGTTTTTTGTTCATTTCTTACTTGTATATTTTTTTGCTTGTTCACTTCGGTGATGTACATGTTGTTAGAAATGACTTTTGTAGTTTTATATAAAATCGTACGTACTTATTATTTTATTTACAATTGAGCAATTTCATTCAGGTGAGTGGAACTCATGGAATTGAGTATGTTACGTTTAAACAATGCTTTATCACATCGAACACTACAGTTAAGTTTAGGTAAAGATCTCATTTTTCTATAATCATAATGATGTTTTATATTTATGAAAAACCACCGCTTTGATTTAAGTGCTCTGAAGGTACATTTTACACAAATCACAATTCGAGGATGATATTATCACGCTTACATTGGAGTAATATTAAAAAACAACAAAAACGGCATTATTTACAATTGTCAAAAATTAATAATCATCGAGAAATAAAGTTTACAACATTTTTCAACCTGTATTACCAATTTTTCGAGTGAAAAATATTAATATCATGCACAATGTAACTAAAAAATTGTATATTTTTGTTATGTTCAATGAATAATTTTAAGACAACAATCTTTCAAATTTAAATTTAAAAAATTTATAAAATATATATTTTTATAACCATCTTGAATAATAAAGGAAACAGTTAAGTGTCCGCTTCAAAAATTGGTATTTAAATTGGATCAAAAATATTTAAATCTGTCACTCCCTGTTTAGAAAGGTTGTCTTAAATACAATAAAATCTGAGAAAACTATTAGAAATTAAAAGCCGATCAGGAACTCCAGCAAGCTTTAACTGGTAATCAAACAGATTTTGATATTTTTACTACTGCTTTAATAAATAATTTTTTGCAGATTTTGATAACATTTTTTTCATTGTTTAAATATTAATTAGTGAGCCCAAATGTGCTTTAATTTGCGAGATCAGTGATTACGGAACACTCGGCAGATAAATTTTACTTTCTTTTTTAATTTCAAACTTATAATTTACTTCATTTGATGAGGGAAATATACTTTGGTCTTTTTCAGTATTTAAATCATTTTATCGATTTAAATGAGTATCAAGTAAAATTTAAAAAATATATATCATGAAACTTAAATTGACGCTAAACACTATACTCCAATTCATTTTTAAACATCAATAAATAACATTCAATAACAACTAATGGGAACAACAATTAACATTAAAAGAAAAACAATGAATCAAGTTCAATTGCCAGTTGAAACTTATGGTTGTTTTGGCGATTCTTTTTCAAATTTCCATTGCGTTCATGTTTTAATATTCTTTATATTCTCCCTCTTGGTAATGATAATTCCATGCCCTTTTTGTTTTTTTCTCTTCTAAATAGTAGACCCTAAATTGTATTCATTTGTTCCATCATTATACACTACGCTTCTAAAATTGTATGATTAAGAAACACCCTGTATACACCCATTTCTTAAGGAATCCCTTTCCCAGGAGAGTGTTTACTTTGACAGAATTTTCACACCATTGTTTCTAGCTTACATAACCGTACTCAATTTTGGAATCTAAAGAAAATCTTTGAAAACATCACAATTTTTTTCAGTGCTAAGTATACTTAAAGTAAAAATCGTTCACTGTCTTGTACATTGCAACAGCCTTATTTGAACCAATACTATGCCTATAAATCAAGGTCTCTTATGACAGTAATAAAAATATATGCACAGAAAATATACAAAAAATAAATGTCTATGCCTTGGAACAGTTTGATTTAAACTAATATTATGCCAAAAAAAAATATTTTTACAGCTGCAAATTGAGAAAAAAAAGCACAAAGAATACGAGTTTTTGTACTCTCGTGCAAAGTCTTTTACATCAGAACTATTTTATTTGAACTAATATTTTGTTGACAAAATGTCTTTTACTGCACTAAATTTTAAAAAAAATTTAAGGAATAAAAGTTTACTTAAACTCTATAGATAAAAACAATTAATATACAAATTACGCATTTAGCATTTATTGTAGCAATATAACATTTATTGTAATAATTATTCGACATATTCACGTAACGATAATCACGCTCTGCAGCGACGTTTTTTTCTAATTTAATTGTGCTGGTATTATTATATTTAGGGAAAAAGGGATGAAAACGACAGTTTGAAACATAAATATACTAACATAAACAACCTCTTATGAAGGAATTTTTAAAAAAATTGTACATTAATTATAGACTTTAGGGATAATAAATAATGCTTTTCGAGCTAATCTCGCGCATCAAAATTGTATGTAAGGGAACCTTTTAACTACTCCCAATTTCATAATATCTGAATTTAAATAAGTAGATAAAATATTGCAATAATACATTAAACTAATACTTGCTCACTAAATGTAACATTTCTTCCATTTAAACGATTGTAACAAAATTATTAGATTTCCTTGCAGCATAAATTTGTCATTCATCTATAAAAAAAAATGCTGAAAAAAATTGCCCATTGTGTCTGGGATAATGAGCAGGCAAATTTACTTGCAAAAAAAGGTATTAATTTATTTCAACACTCAAATACAGCAATTTCCTTTTGGAAAATGTAACTGTTTCTGAAATATCTATGTAAAACTAATTCAATGCAGGATCTTCGGACTCGCATAGCCCCAAAAAGTTGCAGGAAGTTAAACCTTTCCTCAATAACCGACAAACCTAGACGTGATGCAGTTGCGGCCTACCGTTCATCTACGGATCATGATTGTCATTCTGTTCATCTGCATCGTATAGGCCTTCTCGCCACGCCTTTTTGTCCATTTTGTGATACTGGAGAAGAAATGGGCAGGGACAATTTGCTGCCATGCTAGGCTCTGAGTAGAGATACTAGGTTTTCAAGGTATTGGGAAGCAAGAGAACATTTAGGGCAATGACTTCTGTCATGTTTGGTCTTCTCATGTACACACTTTTGTATTTTCATCTCTTTAAATATTTGTACCTTTTTGCCTTGCCAATGGAAATTTAACAAAAATATACAAAAATTATTCTTGCAACATATCACAAGATTCAACATGATTTTCTTACCAAAGGAACAATTACACATGAATAAAACAAAATCGAAATAGTGATTAATGCAAATGAATTTAAAGCCGTTTCCTCCATAGACAAATCAAGAAATCGACAAGTTTTAATTTATAACATTACCTCTTACACGAACAACCATTACTGATGAAAATGCTGATATTGCAAAAACTGTTGATAGTATATTTAAAGGAACATTAACAGCCTTGGTGTTAGTGTAACAAGGAAATTCATGTTTTTAGCGACTGTTAATGAATTAAAGTTTTTTATGAGTCAATCCAGTTCCAAATAGCAAAAGTCATATATAAATACCAGATTGCAAGCAAAATCATTACATAAAGAACTGCAAATAATAATGATATATTTTCAATGAGCCTTACACAGATCACCGCTCTGTAAATTGTAGAAGTTGACCAGTCTCTGATCGTAATTTCATCATTTACAGATGAACCTCCTGAAATTTTAATACTTTTATTAGAAAAGCATCAAAAAAAATAATTTAACATTTGCACATGCTGATTTATTAAGATTACTTCCTATCTAAAGAACATTATAAACACAGGTGGAATCTCAAATTATTTATCAGCATCAGTCAATTTACCAAGAGTTTAATTTTGAAAAGATAAGTTAAATTTGAGGCTGGGTTAATATTTATATTTATAATAATATTATTATAATAAATATAAATATTAACTCAGTTAATATTTATTATATTTAATATTATTTAATTACTGAATAAATATTTATTATAATATTGTCAATTTAAACCTCAACTCAATATCATTCAAAATTGCTCTAATTGGCGTTTCTCCACAGGAAATTATTTTTTCTTAACGATGGTACTTAACCTTTCAGAAACGGCTAGATCAACAGTTGGATCCTATGTCATTTTTATTGTTATAAAAGTGTTTGATATACATCCTAACAATTATTAAATATTTGAGATACCATATTTGCTTTTTCTTCAACATATTATGTGTCTCAACATAAAATGTCTCTTATATATCAAATACTTTTAAAACAAAAAAATAGGGTACATATTTTATACAGCCGTGTTTAAAAGGTATGAATTTCGTGTCAAAATTTAAATTTCTTTATAATGATACATAAATTTAAAAAAAGGTACATAAGTTTAAATGAATAGTTGTGTGATAATATTTTAACTTAAACCAGTAATGTATTTTTATGCTAAAATATTAAAATTCAATGTTCATGCTATTAAATTTTTGAAAAAACTATGGATAATTGTAGGCTTGTAACCAAAAGTTATTACTAAAAGAAAATAACTTGCACTCTGGTTCAAAACATTGCCCACTTTTTTTTTTACTTTATTTATTTTATTACTGAAAAGATTGTGAAAAAATAAATGTTTTCGCGATAAGCACTCATCTAAATTATTTAGTATTTTTCATTTAAAATAAATTTAAGCTTTTGCATCCAGAAACAAGTTTTGAAATCAATAATCTTAAGGTACAAAGTAAGACATAATTTCTTTTTGAAACACTTATCGTGATTAATTTTTATTTGGCAAATTAAAGGTGATGAATGTAAAATACTTAGAAATTCTAGAAAAATTATATTCTTCTTCTCATGCGATAAATTTCAAATTTATCTCAATGAATCCTATTCCATTTCCTCTTCTTAATTGCGTCTTAGTATATCGTTTTTGTTAACTACAGCAATTATTTATCAGCAACATTAATCAGCAATCAGTTCAATGATGCTCAAATGACCATTCTCAATTAATAACTCCTATATGACTTTTATTTAGCTAGAATTTAGGAGAAAAAGAACTTCTTACTTAGTTTCGCTATTTCAAGTCAAATGTTTATGAACTTGAAACAAAAACGAAAAAGGACGAAAAGATATTAATATATTATTTATTAAAGAAGAACTATTTTAATATTGCACGAATCAAGTGTGAGATGAATTACAATGAAACTACACACAAAAAGAAATAAAAGGTATAAATGAGAAATGAATAAACAATTCTTTACTGGATTTGTTTTTGTTCAAATCCCAAGAAAACCAATGAATAGAGCAGTGAAATAATTCAATGAATATTAAACTAATTCAATGTATATTAAACTTAAAATTTAGGAAAGAGAGGACTAGAGTGATCATTTTTTAATAAATCATCCGATTTTAATAAATCTTACCGATCATCACTCATTAAAATCCAAGCATTATTTTTTTATCAATAAAATTAGAATACGGGTTTTCCTTTTAAGTGATTTATTAGCTAATCAGGAGGGATACTTTTATAACCTTAAACTGACTTCTATTGTATTAAAGTAAAATAGTTGTTTTGATCCCTTTTAGCGCCACAATATGGTTCAATGCTTATAAATAATGCAGACATCAAACACTTTTGTATAAGCCAGTTGGAAACCAGCTCCCCACCTTGTCCACAAGAAAGCATTGGACTCACATTTCACCTTATTCACGAATTAGAAGCGTTTAAAGTTGAGGTAAATAACCTTTATGTCTGAATATACTGAATTAAATACTGAAAAATACTTTGAAACACTGCTAAAAATTAAACAGACTTTTCAGAACCGAGAAAAAAAGAATCTTGAGCAATATATGCAAGTTCTTTTGATGGCAAGATTCACCACTTCTCAAAATCGTTACTCTGTTTCAATAGTTTATCATTACCAACACCCTACACTCTGCCTATATTCTACACTCAGTAACCAGTGACTAGAGAATTTTTTTCTGTTATTCAAAAAACACTTAGCCGGAAAGGGATTCAGCATTCTGACAAAATGAATTATGAGGTTAAGGCAATGGCGGAGAAGTGGCGAAACATCATATAATAATTGCCTCACCAACGGCAAAATTACATTGACTATTTTAGAGAAATAAATAAAATAGTTATGTAAAATAGTAAAAAAATAGTTGAACCTTCTAATAGTGAAAAGTAAACGGATTTTGCATAACTTTTAAACAAACTTCTTTATTATGGGCTTTTTCTACCCTAGGGATTGCAATTTCAATTTTCTCTAGCCTCTTCAGTCGGAATGTTTTTATAGTCCTAAAAATCCCCTTCAGTCAGAGTAGGGCATTTAGCTTTAAGATATCCTTTTTAGAAATCAATAGCGCCTTCGTTAGCAAATAAAATAAAAATCCTGTGATTCTGATGATTATGACTTAAGATAATATGGATTGAAATTGATGCCAGGGAATCGGACGTCAGCACAGCATGATGTTTTTTGTTTGTTTTTTCTTTTTTTTCTAATTTTTGAAAGCAGTAGTAAGGCACGCTAATACTGAAACCAAATATTTACATAGTACGAAACAAAAAAAGAGAAAAGAAGGACAATACTTTACTATAGGTAATTTTTTTCGATTTAGCTATAATTTTTTTCCATATTTTTTCGATTTAACGATAATTTTTCCACGATTTAACTATAATTTTTCCACGATTTAACGATAATTTTTCCACGATTTAACGATAATTTTGAAGAAAAAAATTATCTCAGAGCGTGTTTTACAATATTATCGTTTAAATGTGGTGCATGTTTCGCCTGTTGTTAAGTAACTTTATTATCGCACTTATGAAATCTGATACTAAGTTTCATCATTAATGAGAATCTAGTTAAATTTAATACATTATCAAGTTTAAGCTAATATTCACCATATTATAACTCAACGGTTAATTTAGATACTATCAAACTGCTTTTTTCTAAATAGGCAGATGAAATTATTTAATCAAACTGACATTTCCAACTATTTAAAAAAAATCTAATAATGTTGTCGCAAATTTCCATTGTTGTTGCTGCATTTTAATTAACCGGAAAATAGTTTTCAAAAGTTAACTTTCTTATTTTTCTGACTGCCATCAGCTTGAAATTAATTAAAGCCACACATGTGGTGTTTTACACTAAAATATTTTCGTATCCTAAATTTAAAGGTGTGTATTTACAATATTTATTTTTCTTATTTTACTTTGGTATTATTACGTTTTTATTCTGATTATTTACTAAAATAAGAGTTTAAAACTAAAAGAGTTGTTTGGTTATTCTTACACAATTCTATGATATTATTGTATCAAGGAGCATTGTAAAATAATCTTATTTGAATCAACGTCTAAGCTCATTAAATGTTTTACAATTGTCATTTTACATTAACATGCTAGTATAAGTTACGATTGAAGAGATTCATGAAAGAATTGAGAATTTAAAGATCACCTTATGCTTAATCTGTTGCATGAACAAATTGTAATAAATATATCAGCATGTTTGCTAAGCGAAAATATTAAATTATGGTTGTGAATTAACCAAATTAATTATAATAATATATATTTAATTTTAAATGTTATTTAAGAAAAGTTATTGCATGGAAAATTATTTTATGTTCACTCATAGATCTTAATAAAATCTTAGGGAATCATATGAGATCTTTCATGTTATTTATCAATTAAATTTTACCTAAAATAGACAATTAATTCACAGAAATGAGGATTGGGTAAAGGTAGTGGAGACACAGGCATAATTAAGAGGAATTATTTATAGTAGATATATTTTAATTTCAACTTTTGGGGAAAAAACTGTTTTATGCTTAGGAACAATAAAGTTGCAAAACAATCATCGGTGTTGGTGAGCAACGAAAAACAAAAGGCTTAGCCCTCTAGTGAAAAAAATTATTGTTGTAAATTATGAAACGAAGAACTGAGGATTCTTTTAAATTAGCTGTACAGAAAATTAAACAGTAGGTTAATATATAATACCATCAGAATGTGATGATTGATGCACTGCGAAACTTCCCTCCGAACTATCCTCAGAATTCGACCTGCAAAAAGAAACTTATGTACAGTACTGAAGAGTTAGAAGAGTAAATTTTATAAGTAAAATAAATACATTTTTCTAAGTCAGTTACTGTCTTTCTGTTTCTCTACCTGTAAATTAATATGATTCAAACTCAAAATGCAAAACAATTAACTTGAACAAATACATGTACTACAACTAACATACACAAATTATTAAACTGTTTAGATGAGCCAATATTTTAAATCTCCTTCGAATAATCACAAATAATTTAATAATTGGACTAATCATTTGAACAATGGAGAATTTCTAAATTCTGTATGTATGTATATATATATATNTTAAACAGAATCGTAGCGATTATTTCCGCTTGGTCGTAATAAAGTATTTATTTTTCAATTCCAAATTTATAGAAAATATAATTTAATCATTTATTTATTTCTTATATAGCTTCCACCCTTATTTTAATATTAAAAATACTAGCCAAATAAAAAGCAAAGTTTGATGCTTTATTTTCTTTATATGAGAAATAAAGACCTTTCATTTTCGATAATGGTTACTAGATGGCAGTATCAATTGAATTTGTTGACTGTATTATTTCTTTCCTAGCCTTCATTATTATGCTAAAATACATATATTAACATATTTGTATTTTAACTTATGAACTTTATATAAACGGTATCAGATGATGCTTCTGAAATATTCTTACCTTTTCAGAAATATTTCTTAAAATAAATTATTTATTGATTTTTTAAATGATTTAAATACACTTCTCTTAAATACCAATTCTCTTTTTACCCATATTTGTCATTTAAAAGCTTAAAGCTTACTCATTTAAAAACTGAAAGTTACAAAAAGCGTATTTTATGCAATTGAAACGACATCAAATTTATTAAAGAAAAAATATCTCTTTATAATATTCTTCTATTTGTTTTTATAATGTTTTGAATGATTATTTGTGTAATTGCAACAAATCATATTCACTTAAACTTTTATATCTTTGATATTAATAATATTTTTCATAAAATATCTGCAATCTTAAGTGAATGATTTCATTATATACATTAGATCAGCAGAAGCAACAAAATCTTTGTTTTCCAAAATTTGAGAGGAGACTTTTTGTCATTTCCATTACAGTGGCCACAGTGGTGATACTTTAACCTATTTCCAGTCATCCAACTTCTTGTCCACTACCGCAAGCACTCAAATACTTGCAATTAATAAAGTTAATACAAAGATATAATTTTATTAATAATAAAATTATTAGCAAAACAGGAAACAGCTTCCATTAAGGAAAAGGTAAATATATTTGATATAAAAATAAAGAATACTCACGGTGGGTTAAATTCATCTCTCCTAACACCATATGTGTTCCTATAACTCCCCTCACTGCAAATGTCCTATAAAAAATCAAATAAAAGCTAAAAAAAACTCAGATTTGGACATCTAGAAGCATATATGTGTTTAGATACCTTATGATTTTGATGTAACCAAGATACAAATTTCAATCAATTGTTTGACTCATTGAAGTGGTAATGGGATAAAATTGAACCACCGAGGGTAGATCTAAACACATATTAGAACTAGTAGAGGCATTAAACGAAGTATAAATAAATAAAATTTAACTGTCATCATTAGCATTGGCGTGACAGAATTTTGTGTCTGGGCCTTCCTTAGAGGTTTTTCTTAATCTATTTTTCTTGCAGAAATTGATCTCCAGTTCTTCACTTTGAAGATGGCCAAAGCCTCATCTATACTTTCTTTCCATTTCTTTTTTTATCTTTATCTTCATTAATTGTTGCTCTCTCATGTTATTTAAGGTCTAATAAAAATCATCAATTCTGTTTGACCTGAGCTCATTTTTATTACGTGCCCTACTCATCACATTCTACTTAGTTTTATGAATTTAATGATAGCCCCATTCTTAAAAGTTTTATAAATGTCGAAATTATAACTTTTTATCCTGATATTATATTGTCAAGGGATGGTTCTCAAAACTGTCCTTCCGAAATTCGTAAATATCTTCTTCTACTTTCTAAACATGCTCCATGACTCTGGGGCATAAGTCAAGTCATGAAACTAACACTGAAAAATTTTTTACTTCAAAATTTAACATTTTTGTTTTTGTAAAATATTCCAATTGTAAGGGCATATTTGTGAATCGTGTATCGCTTTCTGTTTTACGCAATGATTACATTTTCTGTAGAAAAGTAGGGAAATTTGATTACGAAATTTTTATTTTATTTATTATTTCTGTTGAATCTGAAAGCAATAATTAAAAAATGATTGCCATGAAATCACCGATGTTTTTTCCAGTTGTACAATTGTTTCAACTCATTTAATAAAACAATTGTGTATGGTTTGTATTACGCAAATTGCAATACCAAACAAAACAATCGAAGAAATTTCTTTTTAAATAATGTAATTGAGAATAAAATTTAAAGAAGTAAACGCATATTTTGAAAGAAGTAGAAAAACCCATATTTCTACAAAGAAATGTACGTTTTTAAATGTTAATGCTTTACACAATGAATATATAGACACTTTCAAAATCTTTATTGTGATAGCAAACCAGATAGAAAAAACACAACTTATCAGTTTTCTTCCTAAATTATTTACGTTAAACAACTTTAGAGAATGTTATAAAAAAAAGCTATTTTTTATAAATCGAATTTGAATATTTTCGAAATGAAGAAATTGTACATGAAAAGAGGTAAAGAAAGTGCCAGGATTACGCATTCGATTGGTTAAAATAGCAAATAGTTACAGTTAAGTAAGATGTAATTTAGTAACAAAAAGTTACTGTATGGTTCAGTTTAAGCTACTTACTGTAAGTTATAGTAAAGTAGGTTAGTTTTATTAACTTAAAGTTAAAGTAAGTTACGGTAAAGTTTTTAAGTTAGTTACTGCAAGTTACAGTAAGGCACGTACAGTAAAATACGCATTGGCTTTATTTGTTGACTTTCCTATAACGAGAAAAAACTTTTTAATTTGTTGTAGTTTACTTGGTCTGCCTACGCATAAAAATATACTCTGTAAGAAAAAGTGTATTATTATGCTATTAAGATTCAAAATATTTTTCTACTATTTCTACATTATAAAACACCTAAGCATTATTATTATTTTCAGGATGTTTATCTTTCTAAATTACAAAATATTTTTGATTTCGTAGAAATTCGTGTACTTTATTATTTTCCATAAAATGCTAAATAATTATATCAATTGATCTGGTGTTTTAAGAAGGATTCCTTTTTCTGAAAAAAGTCACTATATACAAAAGGAATAATTATTTGTAAACTCATTTTGTAAGCATAACTATGAAAAAATTGTTCTGTATGCATATTTGACGATATTTTTAAGAACATGCTAAAGACCTTGATATTTTTAATATGTCTTTTGATGCTTTAAAAAAATATGTTTAAATGTTTGATTGTTGAATTGATGCTCGTTTTTTTTTCTCAATATGCACCACTTTAACAGGGTTTTTTTTATTTGTTAAGGTTTTTTGTCGCTGAAATAAATAGAATGAAATCAAATAAATACAATAAAATTAAATTTTAAAAAAATTAAGTTAAATAAATGAAAGAAATATTTCTCTATATACACCACTGTAAGTAGATTTCTTTTACCTATGGTGTGGGTTTTATCGTTGAAAAATAAAATTAATAAAATAAAATTGATAAAATAAAATAAAATAAAATAAATAATGTAAATAAAATAAAATAAATAATGTAAATAAAACAAAATAAAGCAGATAAAATAAAATAAAATAAATGAAGCAAAAGAAATAAAATCCAATTAAATGAATAAAATGAATGGAATAAAAAAATAGAATAAAATAAAATAAATGAAACAAAAGAGATAAAATCCAATTAAATGAATAAAATAAATGGAATTAAAAAATAGAATAAAATAAAATAAATAAAATAAAGTTAAATAGATTAGATAATTTTTTCTCTATATAAATCCCTGGGATACTGGATTTTTACTTAATTTACTTAATTACTGTATTTTTACTTAGATTTTTAATAACTGGATTTTTTTATCTATAGTCTGTGTTTCATCGTTAAAATAAATTAAATTAAATTAAATTACTAAAATAAATTTAGAAAATTCAATTTTTCGAAATAAACACTACTGTAACTGGGTTTTTTTTGTATGTAAAGTGTGTTTTGTCGTTAAAATAAGTAAAATAAAATTTTAAAAAAAATTTAAGTAGGATAAATTAAATGAAATTGAAATAAATAAATTAATTAAATGTGTCCTAATATACACCACTGTCACTAGATTTTCTTATTTGTATGTGCGTGTTTCATTGTTAAAGTAAATAAAATTAAATTTAATTCATTAAATGACTAGAATAAAATGAATAAATAAAACTTAGTAAATAAATTAAAATTAAATAAATTAAATTAAAATTTCTCAATATACACCACTGCAACTGAATTTCTTTTATCTGTAGTGTTTGTTTCATCGTTAAAATAAATTAAATTAAATTAAATAAACAAAATAGATAGAACGAAATAATATAAAATAAATAAATTAAATTAAGAAAATAGAATAAATATAATGAAATAAACAAAATAAAATAAATGAAATGAAATAAAATAAATAGTTATTTGAAGAAAAAAAATTTTTTTTCTTACTTCTTCTTCAGAAGAAGATTCAAAAGAAGATGAGGAAGAGTCATCTGTTGAATCATGCGAATCACGAAGATTCTCCTTGTTTGTCGGCAGCATAAAGCAACTTCTTAGTCGAAATAGAGAGCTAACTGACAATATAATATCCAAGTTTCGAACAGGTAGGTAAGTGATGAAATCTGTTGAAGAGCAGCGCATCTCTTTGAGTACATTTGTCAATGCGCAGTTCAGTCTGATTAATTTGTACCGCGGCAGCTCTCGTTGCTATAGCAACAAAGTTTTTATTTCTCTTTCGTGTAGTTTAGCAAGGAGTACTTGTTGCTTCAACAGGCACGGTAGATTTTCAACAGGAGATCCGCAATCAAATAATAGTCAAATAGTAGAAAACGGAAAAGAAACACCCAAAACGAAACGTTTCAGTACGTAGCTTATAGTTTTATTTTAATTAGTAAGTACCTACTATCAAAATCGTTAGAAGCATAGTTAGCTTCGATAGTAGTATGTAGATTATTTTTTACTTCTCTCTGAACGAATTAGTACCATTTCTGCATAAATTTTGATTTCAGTATATAGTTAATTTTTTTAGTTATGTTAATAACTCTTGCCAAAATTAATTTAGCATCATTGTCTGCGAAAAATAGTATGGCGATTTTATTTTTTCTTCTAAACGAAAGAGAACCATTTCTCCATTAATTTTGCTTTTTAGTACATTTTTTTTATTTCAGTTAGTACATATTAACAAAATAATTAAGAGTTATAGGCAAAAATAATTGTATGACGATTTACTACGCTTCTCCTAAGGGACTTAATATCATTCTCCAATTAATTTTTCTGTTCAGTGGGGAGTTCATTTTTTTTTAAATTACATCGGTGACTATCATTTATTAATTGTTTTCAAAATTATTCAAGCATCATTGGCTTCAATAATAGAACGACGATTTTTACCTTTCTTCCGAACAATTTAATTTAATTTCTTCATTAATTTTTCTTTTCAGTACATAACTTTTTTTTTATTTCAAATACCGTTTATTTTTCATTATTTAGTTTTATAGAAATGCATTTAAAAGTAAAATTATTAAAAAAAAGAAATAAATACGGCGTTTCAAATTACTTAAGGAATACTAATTTGGTCGAGTAGTTCAGCTGTGCTACCACGCTCACATTGATTATTGATAGCGTGCAATAAACTCCTATTTTTTTATTATTGAGACTAATAAGAAAGTAAACATAACAATCACTGATGCAATCAATAAATATTTAAAAAATCAGAATCATTTTCAGTTTTCTTTATATGAATTGCACTAGCTCCATACCAATGAGAAAATTTCCTTTTCTAATTGTCTCACCTGCACGATGTAACTGAATTATTAGGATAGCGAGCTAAAATTGCCCTTTTCTCCCACTGCTCAAATTTCAGGACTGGTTCTGGGGTTCTAAGAGAGACAGACAGACACATAGACAGACAAACTTATCATTCATTATTATAATAAATGAAAACTCATGTCTAAATGCAGGTAATTTGCACTTAAATTAGATGTCTTGTTCTTTCTTAAGAAAATGCTATTTTGCTAGCGCCTTTCTTTCATCAAATGTCGTTTTGACTCTCATTCTTATGACTGCGCCTTCGCTTGATATTTCAGTTTTCAGTTCCTTGTTGCCAACGCAAATAAAAAACATTCTATCGACTTTCTAACAAAGCACGCTTTAATATCAAATTATATTAAGATGGATGGAAATTGAGAAAACACCTTTATGTGTGCTCCAATATTTCCATCTATGTTTCAGAACTATAATTTATATTCATCATTTTACTCCAAATTTATTTGCTGTATCATTTATTTTAAACAGCCTAATTTTTAGTGGATTTCTATATTTTTAGAATAGACATGTAAGATTTTAAAATCACTGAACATCATTTGGCACAAAATACACAAAGACTTTTGTAGCATCAAATAAAAGTAAATTACTTTAGGGCATAAATATTTATATAACTCCAATACTTGCGGAAAAACAACTCATTCTACAATAGGTTTTGAATGCAAAGGTGTATGAGTTTATCCTCAATTCTTTGTATTGAACTGGAACTCCTTCTTTTGCTAAAGAAAACGTGTTGCTTAATATATTCTTGATACCTCAGCGATCTTTTCTCCGGGATTTTTAAATCTTTTCAACAATTCGAAAGAAAGAATTTACATCTCTATTCTGATGAATTAAAAATGCCGAAGCGAGAAAAATTAGAGCCACAACTAAACAAATCAGTTTTCAATTTGTTTTTCTTAGTACTAAAGTTGCAGCATCTTTTTATTCTTTATGTTTTCCTCAATGGTAGGAAAATGTTTTTAAGGCGATTTTTTTTCTTCCTCGCTCTCTTACAAAAATATTTAGGAGAATGATTTATTCTCTAAGGATTCTTTTGAAGCAGCAATAAAATATAACAATTATACATAAACATCGAATATTTTTAGCCAAAGAAAAATTAAAGCCGAATATTTTTAGCAAAAGAATTAATTGCTTGATGGAAATATTTGGTATTTAAAATGTTTTCAAAAATAATATATTTTTTTACGTATAAGACTAAACGGTCAACATGAAGGAACATGAAGTTTTTTTTAATTTTTTGATATTATATTATTTTAAATTGATGATGTATTTTTAAAAACTTTTCAGTTCGCTGAAAAATTTCCCGTGTTATGGAAAATACTTAAAAAATCGAAACTAAGATTCAGACCAAATATTTGACCACTATTGCGATTATACTAAGGATTTAGGCCGACCAATGTCCTGACAAAATTAAAAAAACTGGTAGCAAAATTTTTAAAGAATCACTCAAAAATAACTTTCCTCTTTTCCTTACTTATAACTTTAAAGAAAGCTATTTATGTTAGCAAAAGTTATTTTTGGTTTCTGCCTGAAATTTCTGTCCTCTACCAGAAATTTTTAATTTAAATTATTTCTGTTCTCTGACAGGAATTTCTGTTTCCTGCTTGGAATTTTTCATCTCTACCAGGAATTACTGTTCTCTGCAGGAATATTCTGTTTTTACCCGAAATTCCTGCTCTCTGCTAGGAACTCTCTGCTATTCTCTATCAGGAAATCCTTTTTCCGGATATTAAATTGAAAATGTAAAGGAATGAGTTTTCGAATATCCTTCTGAAAACCTTACTACCAGTTTTTTGGTTTTCTCGTGACGCTGGTCAGCTTATCTGGAAACCATATTTTCCAGTTTATAGCCGTATCGTATTCAAATCGGTCGTATTCGAACCCGGTACACCTCATTGGACACTATTTCTCCTGAGCCACCACGGCTCACTGTGCATGATTGTTGGCAGCAGTGGTCAAGAGAAGATACTGCTTCAAGAAGACCGAATTCTGGGAGGCCGCGCGGCACTAATCGGAGGGAAGATCTTCGTATACGGCGTATGACTGTGGTGCACCGTACTACGTCTGCATCAGAAATTCGAGCTGCAGTTTGCACAGCAGTGACACAACGAACTGTTACAAATCGAAAACTTTAAGTACAGCACCGAGTGAGATGCCCTGTAAGTTGCATTCCACTCACTTCAAACCACTGCCGTTTACGACGTGATTGGTGTCGAGTTAGAGCTCACTGAAGGACAGAGTGGAGATCTATTGTGTTTTCTGATGAAAATTGGTTTTTCCTTGGTGTCAGTGCAAGCCGTATATTGGTTAGAAGGAGGGCAAGAGAGGGCCTTCTATAGACCTCACTCCGGCCTAGACACACAAGAGCTACACCTGTGATTATGGGGAGTAATTTCCTATGACAGCAAGAGCACTTTCGTGGTTACTCTACTCACCTTGACGGTAAATTTGTACTGTAGCCGGGTGATCCAGCCTATTTTGTTGCCATTCATGAACAGCATTCAATTGGATATTTTCAAACAGGATAGCACTCGCCCTCATGCTGCTGTTGTAACCTAACATGCTCTACAGAATGTCTGCATTCTGCCTTGACCTTCTAAATCACCAGATCTTTCACCAATCGACCACGTATGGGACATCATTGGACGTCAACTTCATCGTCATCCACAACCGGCATTAACTATCCCCGTATTGACTGACCAAGTGCAACACAAAGAACATATAAGTGAGGAGAAGACCAACTCTCATAGGCCCCCATGTGAACCTGTTCCGGAGGCACAGGTTAACTCCATCGAGGTGTGGAAGTATTGCCAGGAAAAAAACCTGCCTCCTAACAAAGGGTCCCGCTCTCCTCACCCCCTAAACAGCCCCATTCCCCTCCGCTCCCAGCAAACACCTCCCTCCTTTGTCTCCCCTCACTCATGCAAACAGCTAATGAAAAGTGTCTCAACACTAGTCTGCTTTTATGCTTTACAAACTTATGTGGTCTTGAAAAAGGTTTACAGGTTTACTTATTAAAACAAGGAATTCCACAAAATGACATACAGCATCTGTATGACGCAATGCATACCGTTTTGTATGCTTGCAATTAAAATTCTGGTGGTTACACCGGTTATTAATGCACCAGTATTTCACGTTCGAAATGCTTTTTCTCTTAATTGCATTTACCTGTGATCTTGAAACTTTAATCAATTAAATATTTTTATCAGACAAACGCATTGCCGAAATTTCAATACTCCACAATTTTTTTTCTTCTTCTTGTTGGGAATCTTTTTCCATCACTGTAGTACAGGGTGATTATAAAGTCCCGGACCCATTTTGATGTTTAATAACTCATAAAATAATAAAGATAGATTAAAATTAATAACATAAATGGTTAGATAGACTCAAAAAGTTTCATGACCCTCGTCAATGAACTTCCACATGTGCCCCCTTCGTCGCACGGATAGTCAAGTCGATAGTCAATTTCACGCCAGGTAGCGGCAAGCATGTCGGCATCCACAGAGGCTATTGCGATTGTAACTCTGGCTTTTAGGTCATCAATGTTCGACAAGATCCTTCTGTAAACATTGTCCTTTATAAATCCCCAAAGAAAAAAGTCCAGCGGCGTTATATCCAGGTGATCTGGGTAGCCAAGGAATTGGACCTCCTCGCCCAATCCATCTTTCAGGAAAATGGTCATTCAAAAAACTACGAATAATGATACCCCAATGAGGTGGTACACCATCTTGTTGCAAAAGGACATGTGGCTGAAGATCTTCTAGTTGTGGAAATACAAAGCTTTCCAACATGTCTAAGTATACGACTGGTGAGACCGTCTTTTCTTTAAAAAAGAAAGCTACCTGGCGTAACTATCGACTTAATATTCTTCGTGCGACGAAGGGGGCAACGTGGAAGTTCACTGACAATGGTCATGAAACTTTTTGAGTCTATCTAACCATTTATGTTATTAATTTTAATCTATCTTTATTATTTTATGAGTTATTAAGCATCAAAATGGGTCCGGGACTTTTTAAGCACTCTGTATTTAACAAAATTATACTATTTTGAAATTTAAAGATAATTGAACGATTGAGTCAATAAATCGAAAAGCAAATTTAATGTTTGGAGCATAAATTTTTCCTGATAATGTGAAAATAGTTTTGAAAGAAGTGACGAAAAAATTTATCCTTGTAGTATTCTATTCATTTGAGTAAAAAACAATTTACATTATAGAGATAACTATTAAAAAGACACATAATTATTGGAATTTTCTGGTAGCAAAACTAGCAGATCCCCGAATTCTTAGTATTCATTCAAAAGAGCATCTTTTATTTTAGAAAGTGGAATACTATAAATGACAAATTGGAAATCAAATGTCGGAATAAATTTAATTTTGTCGTTTTTATTAAATATCTAAAATAGGTTGATATTGGTAACAATCCGTGAAAAATCTTCTTTAATTAACATTGTATTTAAAATATGCATGCTCCCTCATCACAATTTTATTAACTCTCAGCACAGTAGAGATTTTTTTTTACTTCAATTAAAATAACAATTAATTGATTCAGCAAATATGTGCAAAAATCGCCCCGAATTATGTTTCATGAAAATGAAAAATATGTAAATAGTTTTATTAACAATTAGTATATCAAAAAGTACTGTATAAATCTTGTTCAATTTCGTATGAAAATGAAGTGTAAAAAAGTGATTTAAATACTTTGGCTAATAGTTTGAAAATATTGTGCATTTAAAATATGCATGCTCCCTGATTTCAATTTTATTCATATTTCACCACTAATTTCAAAAGATACTTCGATTAAAATTAAAGTTTTTATTTGTCTTTAGCATGCATTGCGCTTAAATGTAAATAGAAGCTACGCATGGATGCAATCTGATATTTTTGTGTTAGCTAAAGATGGTGTAGAGAAAAAAATTAAAAAAATCGAAATAAATTTTTTCTTTATACAATATTTAAGCAGTTTCCACAAAAATATATTTTTAGCAAACCCAATGAAATTTGATTACATTATTGAAATCCATGTTATAATGCCTCTAAAGCCTTCGAAATAAATAGATTATTTCCACCTCTATTAAAATGTCAAGAGTAAGAAATTTAAAAAGCATTTTCTAGCAATGCTTAAACATAAATTTCAGATGATTTTCTAGCAAAATAAAAAGAAATAAAATATTGTTCTAAACCCACTTTAAAAATAATTGGATTTTGGGATAAAAAATATCATTTGAAATGTATTATCTTTTTTTTTTAACACAGAAGAAGATATACATATTGTATAAAGTGAAATTCAAAATATGAAAATAAAATTTAAACATGAATTTTAATTTTATTTCTTTAGATTTTCTGAAGTCATTTTTATTATATACCAAAGTATACTAAAGTGAAAAACAACGCGAATAATCCGAATATCAAATACAAAAATGGACAGTCTACATATACCCTATTCTTTTGGATATTCTGGTATAAATGGAACTTATTGGGTAAATTTATTTGCCTTTTTTATAGTTTTAATTCCTGTCCATATTTGTGTGATTTGTGCTTTATTCACGTTTTTTTTTTTCGCCTTAGCCTATGTAGTACAAAATATTTTTCTCATGTCAAAGTATATTGTGACATTTCTATTTTAGAAAAAGGAAACATTTTCGATCTTTTATAACTATTTTTCATTTCTCAATTGTTGCCACGTGTTGTATTAGTTATCAATGCTTCAATTACGGCTAAAATGATTTTTATTTTTTAATTTAACAAAATATTTGTAGAAATACTATTTGTAATAAATATTTTACTGAACAAGATCAAATTTAAAAACTACTGGAATTTTTCAATACAATAAAATTTTTCCGAATGAGTAGCCTTGTATACTACACTCATTTACTGTCTTTTCAGTATTAATTTTTATTACTGTAGTAAACGTTTACTGTGATGAATTGTATAAATAAAATGTAACATTTAAAAAATGATACTTAAAGTACAAATTAAAAAAAATTAAAATTACTCGTATTCTGATATAAAAAAAACTCTAGGTGAAATTTGAAATTCAAATCAATTGCTGAAATTTTTAAGAAAATATAAGAAAAACATTTTTTTAATTTTCATGTCTGGCGCAGTTTTGTTTTCTTTGCAATTTCTTATTTTTCAAATTGCTCAAATTGTCTTTTAAATTTCGGGTTTTTTTTTCCATTGGGGCTTTTTACCATTTATAAGAAAATTCCTAACTTTAATTTTTTTATAATCGATTGAAAACAAAATATGTCAAATCACGCGAATTTAATTAAGAGTGAAGTTTATTGTTATTTCGTTTTTAAACATATTTCCTCAAAATAATTCTCAAACTGTGCGAGCAATCAAAACATTCTTAAATATAAAGCTTTCGAACATTTATAAATTTAAATCTTAATGATGTTTTCGATCCTTTTCCTGATCAAGAATGGAAAATGTTCGATTGTTTACAGTTGTCATGGTAACATCTTTTTGGATAATCGTGCTAGTTTTATCCATAAGGTGCATGAAATCGTGAATAAACATATTAGTTAAAAGCCCGTACGCAAAAATAAATATAAGCACATGCTTATACTTAAACTCCTACGAATATCCTTAAGACGAGAAATAACTGATATTTAAAGGAAATTGGGATTATGAATTCCTAATGTAGAAGCTAATCCTATTTCAAAAAGCTGAAATAATCGATTCTCGTGAATAAGTCAATATATAGACAAATTATAATACTTAGTTTCTTCAAATACATTTTTATTAAAAGAACACTTATTAATAAAATGGTTTATTTTACAAAAACTTACTTTTTTCACTCACGGAAAAACTAAAAAAAATTATATAAATTTAAAAGCTTTTTAATTAATAATAAAATTGATTCATAATATTTTTGAAAGGGTAAAAATTAAATTAAAGTGCATGTTATGTTACTCTTCGAGAACACTCAAAAATCAAAATCAACTTTCTACAAAATGAAACAGGACCGGAAAGTAATGTCGTTTTGGTGCATTTGATATTTGTTATCAAGATTTCATTTTTAATTAATAATGTATTCACCCTCATTAGCTACAACCTTTCAATGCCGGATCAAAAATGAACCGAAAAAAATGAATTGGGTTTTAAGACTGACGAATATTTAATGCGCAACATTACTTTCAGGTACACCTAATATAATAGTAAAAGTAACTTCTAGTACGAATGGTTTGCTATTAATAAAATATTCATTTATTTTAACATAAAAGAGCTTTTAGTTTAGCAATGTCAGAGTTCGTAGTTGTGCTGAAAAGTTTTTATTTTTTCCTGATAAAAAAATATTTTGGCGTTATTTATCCTTGATTTTTATTTTATTATCCTTGATTATTTGCATCTTCATCCAAAAAAAATTCAAAAACAATAAACACTAAATACAATCGAAAACATCAACCTATCATTAAAGAATCATTAGTTAACTTTATTCACAGCATTTATAAAGTAATTCATGCAGGGTGGAAAGTGGAAAAAATGCCATTTTGTCGTTATTTATCCTTAATTTTTATTTTATTATCCTTGATTATTTGCATCTTCATTCAAAAAAATAATTCAAAAACAATAAACACTAAATACAATCGAAAACATCAACCTATCATTAAAGAATCATTAGTTAACTTTATTCACAGAATTTATAAAGTAATTCATGCAGGGTTGAAAGTGGAAAAAATGCCATTTTGTCGTTATTTATCCTTAATTTTTATTTTATTATCCTTGATTATTTGCATCTTCATCCAAAAAAAATTCAAAAACAATAAACACTAAATACAATCGAAAACATCAACCTATTATTAAAGAATCATTAGTTAACTTTATTCACAGCATTTATAAAGTAATTCATGCAGGGTGGAAAGTGGAAAAAATGCCATTTTGTCGTTATTTATCCTTAATTTTTATTTTATTATCCTTGATTATTTGCATCTTCATCCAAAAAAAATTCAAAAACAATAAACAAGAAATACAATGGAAAGCATCAACCTATTATTAAAGAATCATTAGTTAACTTTAGTCACACCATTTATAAAGTATTTCATACAGGGTGGAAAATAGAGAAAAAGTACATTTAGGGATTTTATTTTAATAAAAATGATATACAAGATCAAGGACATACATAGAAGAACGAATTATAAAATGTCACATTTAATTTATTTTTTTCGAAATTTGCATATAATTTTAGTTGTTTAAGTAATTCAACAACTGCACCTCATATTTAAAAATTTTCAACATGAATCTTTTCTGTCAGCAACACACTGCTTAGTAACAAGAAAGAGGAAAATTCTATGTTAAAACTCCAGTAAGTCTCCATAGTTAAAGTTACAACTTTGACAGCCTTATTCGTTGTAAATGCTAAACACTTAGTAGAAACATGCACTCTCTTCAGTGCCAATCGCTATCAATTTTGATGGCTCAGTCGTTTGTGGAATTGTCTCCTCAATGGTAGTATTTTCCTGTTAAAATGAATAATATCAACACTGACATATTATTACTGTTAATCAGCTTGATAGATTAAAGAAAAGGGGTGAAATATGTGAAATAACTTCGGTAGAAGAAATTTATAGCACTGGACTAAAAATTGATTTCATATAAATCATTTCACGAAAAACAAGCTTTGAAAATATTAATATTAATTTAAAATACGTAACTTAAAAACATAAAATACGTATATAGTTATTTATTTACTGAAAAAATATGAAATTCTGAACCTTAATTTACTATCCAACCGATGATCAAGTTAAAAATTCCGAATTTTCTATATATTAATTGCTATTATTATACTAATTTCACTATATTAATTATAATTTCTTTATTTGAATGTGTAATAAAGATCAAAAGATTAAATTATCTCAAATATAGTCTCCTTGGGAAAGCCATTTTTTTCCAATATAGAATTGTAATAGTTTTTGTAATCTACAGTCGCACACACAACTACATAGCTAAATAAAATAGAAGTTTTTCACGATTGGAAATAAGCAATTGAAGAGTTTAAAAAAGGAATGTAAAGGAAATTGTAAGTAACAATTTTTCAAAGATTACCTCCAACATTTGTAGCTCATGTTTAACTTTTTCTTTCGACCTTTTGTCTGATTGTAGCAAATTTGGGAGTTTCAACAATATTTTTTGTAGTTATGAAATCTGAAAAAGCAAAAGTCATCGAAGCAAAGTAATGCAGTTGCACAATCAAAACATTATAGTTTTGCACTTTTCATAGATTTTTTTGGACTTCAATAGTTAGCCAAAAAGAAGACTAATTTATTGATGACGGAAATTGCAGTTCCCAAGTAAGATAGGGGAAAGCTTTTAAAAAGATTAGATTGTAAAAGCTTTTAACTTAAACCCTATTTTATTTAAATTGTTTTACTGATCGCAAAAATGTTTTTCTTTTCCTTTTCTTTTTTCTTTTTCTTTTTTTCTTTTTCTTTTTTCTTTCTTTCTTTTTTTTTGTTTTTTTTTTGTATCAAAATTGAATTCAATAAAATTTCAGTACATGAAAAATATTGCATGTCATTATTCAGGCCAGAAATAAAATCTGCATCTGCTTCTTTTGCTAATATTTATACAAAAAACAATTTATTTAAATTTGATATAAAAAAAAATGCCTGTATCACGTCTGCTGGGAACATAGTTCTTTGTTTCAGCCGCACAAAAAAAAATTGTTGCATCGCACAAAGCCTGCCATCTATCATTCATTTGTATTTCTGCTATCTCTATGAGCTGTGTAAATCCCCCGGGAAACTTAAGAGAAGTCAGTAAGGATTAATAAAATCTAGGACTGCCTGAAATTTTTCCAGAAATAATTTCAAAAAAGGAATTTATACTTGAAAAAAATGTTTTTTTATTGCATATACTATAAATAACTTAATATGGTAAATTGAATAAATGATTTCAAAATGTAAATACTTTTATTTTGGTTAATGAAGAAATTCAGTTTAAAATAAGTATTTTATATAGTTCAGTTAAAAAGAAATCTTTAATATAGTTCAGTTTAAAAGAAATATTTAATATTCTATTGAAACATACCTTTTTTTGATGGATTCGACTTCTGACCTCAAAATTATATAATATAACTGCAATCAGAGAAACATGTTCTCAACAGTACTGACCGATTCAAACTTTGGACTCCTTAATGTTAATTTTATTTTTTGCATATTTCATCATTTATCGCGAACTTTTAAGACGAATTGAAAAATTTTTGCACACAATTATAAAATTCATTTGCCCAAAGATAATTCCGTGCAAACAGTAACTTTCTGTAAATATTTCTTTATTTTTATAATTTTATTTGATAATAAGAGGAAAAAATTTTAATTTTATGGTATACAATATTTTACATAATTTTAAAGAATGTAATTTTACATGGCCAAATACAAAAATGAGAAATCGGTTGAATAATTCCTGAAAAATCAAATTTTAAAAAAAATCGTATGTTTAAAATTTGATTTCTCAGGCTCTATTTGACGGGCTCCGCTCTAATTTTGTATTTGCCATGTAAAATTGCGTTCGTTAAAATGATTTAAAAAATTGTATACCTTACAGCTCAAAACTTTTTCAACAATTATTAGATAAAATTATGAAAAATGATAAATATTTGCTAAAGTCATTTCTTGCATCGAATTACTTTTCGACAAATGAATTTTTTAATTGTAAGCAGTTTTTTTTTTTTTCAAATCGCTCAAAAATATCACGAGATATGAAGATATACGCAAAAAGTTAAATTAGCATAAATGAGTCCAAACTTAGGACTGCTCTCCTGACCAAACTAAGGGGCCATATTTCCCCCATTACGCAACCTCCTTTATTTTGGGAGTGAAAAATCTGAATCAGTCAAACTAAATTTGCTCTTTTTTTTTAAATGTGTTTACAAAATTTCTTCCCTGTTTTCCTTGGCAATCAAGCAAGTTCAATGACTTCCGCTCAACTTCCTCTATAATGTTTTGTTGAATTGTGATACCCTTCATGTTTGTTGACTAATTTTTAACCCCTAATGTGTATTAATGTGTGTTTTGCTTCATTTATAAGAAGAATTCAAAAATTACATATGAATAGCTGTAGTTACGGAACATCCCGAATTATAAAAAATTTTAGGAATTCATATTTTAACATAAAAAATAATCATTTTCCAGAATTTCACCCTCTGCTTTATCAGTAAGCAAAGATTTAAATTACATTTATCTTTCATGCGCTTCCACATACAGTGACTTTCGTTCCTGTGATAAATATTTTAGCATTACAACATTGATTACAAAAGTTTCAAGGGTAAATTTTCCTTCTTTTTTTTTTACATATTTTTTAATCTACCCCAAAACGCTACGACGAGCTTAACATTCCTATTCGAAAGGAATGCATCTTGTTACCCAACAGCCTGATCATTGCCAATTAATTAGTTAAAATTTCATAAAGTTAAACACTTATTTCTATTTGTAAAAATCTCTTTGCTTTTGTATCTATTTATGAATATAAACGTAATATTATTCTCTTCTCGTTATAAAATTTTTATTCACATACATCGTATTCATTCATCACATTCATACATAATCAAACTTGGCGGTTTCACACAACTTTTAAACCACATTTTATTTTTTATAAACGTTACGTATTGTTGGTTGATAACATTTGTTAAATCGGATTAAAGAAAAATTAGAGAAACTTCTGTGGTATTATATAAATTAACTTACAATGCAAGCGTTTGCTCTAGCTTGTAAATTATACTAAGGAAAATTGTTTATTTAGGAAATTAAAAAAAATATTTTTAACGAGTCTTGTGACAACGATTTTATTTTAATAAATATATAAATCTATAATTTAACAAAATATGGTTACTGTTCAATGATTATGCAGTACCAAGAAAATAGGTTATAACAATATCATTATTTTTTATCATTTTTTACTATTTAGAGTTACAATACAATCTGTTTGTTACGAATATAATCCTTTTCTCTCTAACATTAAGAGGAAATCTATGTCTACGTTAAATACCAATTCAAGCATACGATTAAATCAAACAGAGAAAGTTGAATTGTTTGGTAAAACAGAGATGATGGTACAGAATCTGCCCAATCTTGAAAATGAAAGTCAACCCGATGCCTTAATGATTTCATATTTGCGGTAAATTAAAGTAGGAAAAAACTATTTAAATTTGATAAATGCTCCTGCTATGTTAATTTGAACTTTGAAAGTTTTAAGGGTTAATATTAAATACGAAGTCAATTAATCAGAAATTTTTTTCAAGTCAAACAAATATATTACAAAAAATAAAATCTTATATTGGCAAAAATGTTATCTATATCGCTCATGGGCTGCAATAGCGGCACAACTCAAAAAATCATGTTTTGAGATAAGTGGTTTTAAAATTTTCATTCCTAAAGAAAACGCATAAGAAATGCTTTCGTTTACTTAAACGAAGATTACCTTCAAGTTGAATTATGAGTTGTGCTAGTATTGCTGCTGAAAGAATCTGTATTTTCATATTTACACCTGTTCTTAGTCCAAAAATCGTGTTTTTTTTAGTTGTGCCGCTATTGCAGCCCATGAGCGATATGTTATGAGATATTACAAAGGTTTAAATATCAAAAAATCCACTTCTGCAGTATATGAACCCATCACATAATGTTTAAAAATTATATTATAATAATGATAAAGTTATGAAAAGGAAGAAAAAGGTCAAACAATTACCTTGTTGACTTGTCGAAACAACATTCGATTGTATTGAGTATTGAGTAGAGTAAAGTGCGACGTGCTCTCTGCTTTCGCTTATAGCACTGCGTTTCAATAGGTAAGGTTTAATTTAGCCTATCAAGATTTATCTGAGCTCTGAGGCTCTTCTTCAAATTCAACAGGCTTCCACCGAGTCCAACAGGGAACCTCAAAATAGTGCACATTCGATTGTTCGAAAACAAATATGGCACGGCCGAAAGAGCAAAACGAATGCGGTTGACAGTTAAAGTAGCAGAGCTGTAAACCAACTTGAATATTGGCGTTTCCCAATTGGTATTCTAAGCTGAAAGTCGTTGAACATGTAATTTTTTTCGTCCAATTTGTTGTTGTTGTTGTTAATTTACGTCGCACTAGAGCTGCACAATGGGCTATTGGCGACGGTCTGGGAAACATCCCTGAGAATGATCCGAAGACATGCCATCACAATTTTGATCCTCTGCGGAGGGGATGGCACCCCCGCTTCGGTAGCCCGACGACCTGAGCGCGAACTCGAGCACTTTACGGTAGCACAGTTTAACGAGCACCAATACCGCACACCCTCGGTCCCTACGCAGACTGATCCAAGTGGTCACCCACCAGCACACTGACCGTAGCCAGTGATGCTTGACTTCGGTGATCTGCTGGGAACGAACCGTGTCTTAACGATCAGTCCACTGCGGGACTCGTCCAATTTGGAAAGATATTAGAACCATTACGGGTTTTATAGCCTTAAATACATATTGGAGTTTGGAAAGGTGTTATAGGTGTTATTTCATTTTGGGTAACATTCTAAGATACGTTTCAGTTTTTACTGTGTATGCACCGTGAATAAACAGACAGTTGTTATCTGAATTTTATTATACATAAATTTTAAGCAAATCAGTGAAACTAAGTTCAGATGTTATGACATTTTTCACGGGCTTTAGTTAATAGTCAAACTGACTTTCATGCTGTGCTCTGACGAGTAGAAATGAAATAAAATAATGAAAGCAAAATGAACGCTGTTAATCATTAATAGTTCAAAGTAATTGCATTAAAGAAAAATGCTGTATAAAGATATAGTATATAGATAATATATAGTATAGTATATAGATACAAATAATATCTATACCATGATTTTAAAGATGAATTAAAATGAGCACAATATTAATTTAAACTTAGATAGCCATTTTAAAGTCAATGTAGAAAAACACATTTCAATACTTCAAATCTCAACAGCATATAATACATACTTTAATATATACATATTTTAGTACAATTATATGTTACATGCATTTTTAGGAAGTAAATCATGTTTCAGATTGAAATTCTTGCTTAAATAAAATACTATTTTTTTATTTAAAAGGCATTTTTTCTTACATATTAAGGGAAATTTTGTTATAAATTGCTTTTTTAGGAAACTTTTATTTCATAAAAAGCCTGACTCTACTATTAAGTTTTTATTTATAAAACTTATGCTCACGTCTGAAAGGTATAAAAAAAAAGGCGTTGAATAAGAAGACATAATTTTGATGAAGCCGGATAAGAGACGTTTTCTTATTTCAGCAACAATTGAACAAACCATACACATTTATTAACTAGCCGACTACCAACTAGGATACAAAAATTGTTTCTTTTTCAACAATAAAAATATACGAAGCTCGGACAAAAATATGGAGACTTTTCTATCCTAACAACTTTTCTTTTACTTTTTAATGTTAGCAACTTTCCGTTTGGAGCAAATGTTTTGAATGATTACATAATAAAACTGTTGTCACACTTTTTTGAAGTCTTTGAACTTGCTTGAAGCCTTTAGAAATGTACCATTTTTACCCATATTTAACTCAAAAGTAATTTTAAAACTCCATTTTAGCTAAGATGTGCTATGTCTTACAAATAACACAATTTTCTCAACTAAATGTATTAAAATGGCTTTCACTGAGCATTTGGTTTAATTGCATTAAAATAAGGAGTAAAAAAAACCGGAACATAGCAATTTATTACTCCAACCAATTAACCAACAAAATTAGGTTAAAGAACATTTTTTACCTTTGAGGTTTGTTGTTTAACAACCATGTTGTTGAACAACCATTTTGTTGTTTAACAACCATGAATACAAAACTTTACGATTTCTTAACCTTTTACAACTAGCATGGCTTCAAAAATTTAAAAAAGAACTTTAACTGGACGTAAGAGATAGACTTTTCGTTAGGTAATGGGCACTGGAGTTAGATTATGGTTGAGTTATGTTTTATCAAATGAACCGTGGATGTGGTTTAATTGGTTTATCTAGTTGTTTGGTCTATCGTAAGAGATGGAAAATACTGGGTTATTTTGTGTTAAGCAACTTCATGGTGCTGCCATCTATGCGTGAATGAGAGTATCGTATTCTAATAGTCAGGGTCCCAAATTGGGAACTAAACTTGGGACTCGAGCGCCTATTCTCATGTCATGAGACTGACGGATTAGCTTTTTCGGCTATGATATCTAGCAGCAAGGAACTAAGTGGCCTCATTACGTGCTCCTAGTTGATGCGATAAAATTCTGGTTTTTTAACCGCATCAGGTGAAAGCAGTTAATAAACGGTTTCACTCTCATTTTATAGTTTAAAAACTCTCTTTTTTAAGGTTATTTGACTGTTTTGTAAGAAAATGGTAAAGTAACAATTAAAAAAATTGCTTGTTTACCATTTCATTTTTTCTGAGAAATTTCAAACAGTATACCTTGTTATTCTTATAAATATTATATTCTTCACATTGTTTATACTATTTCTTATATGTTACCATTGAAAATTAAAATAAATGAAATTATTTTTTCAACATAATTTTAATCTTTAAATGCATAAATTTTTAATTTTAATAATATTGTTTAAAATCAACCGGAAAATCGCTGTAGTTAGCGAGAAAAATACAAAAAAAGCTACAAAATATTTTCTTACAGTGTACTATAATGTAATGTTTCAAACATAATTTTTAGGTAAATAATCGTTTTCAAATATACTTCTTTTTATATAAATAATCGGCATTCGTAACCGAAATGAAACTGTACTTAGCTCGCCAACGATGAATAATACAACAAGAAAAAAGCTGCACATTTTTATTTTTTAAATTTTTTCACTGCGTATAATAATATAATGTTTCAAACATATTTTTTTACATAAATGATCTTTTTCAAATATTATTCTTTTTATATAAATAATAGTAATTCGCAACACACGCCGAAATGATAGCACGCCAATGACGAAAATTGCCACTAATAAAGAAATAAACTGTCAAAGATTCTCGTTGCCTGCGTAAATGATAAAACAGTTTTGATAAAATTAAAATTAAAGAAAGTGCTGTGAAAATGTGGTTATATAATGAGGTTTGACACATATGATGTAGATTTACATTCCTATACATTTAAAGGTTAAATATTTTTTAATCAAATACCACATGCGTCTTAAATAAAATTAAGGGCTTTTGTCACCATTTTGGATTTTAGGTCAAATTTTTAGTTTTCGCTATTTTAAATAAACTAAATATGTTTCTCCGATTCAATCATTGGGATAAGTAAGGGCATTTAAATCTTCAATTATATTATGTTCTGAATAAAAAGCAAAAATCTAAGCATTTATGTTTTATTTATTATCCAGTTTAATTTGTGTAGGTTATTCAAGAAAATAATTTTAGAGAAGGAAAAACATATAAAAAGAAATGTCGGAAAATGATTTTCTTTTTTAGTATTTTTAAATTGAAACTTTACTTAAGCTCTTAAATATTGAATAATTAGTTGATTTCTCTGATTATAAAATTTTAAAATCGCTTACAAAAAAAGAAATGAAAGCGAAAACGTCAGCACGAGGTGAAAGAATTAGGAAAAAAGAGTTGCTTAAAATAAATAATGCTAACCCAAAGCTACCATGCGCCATTTGATAAAATTTTATAATCAGAGAAATCAACTAATAAGGTTAACTTTGCTATATTCATATATTATCAATTATACGACTAAAGCAAAAATTCCAGGAAGAATGTAATTTGAAGACTATACAAAAGCAAATTATTAGAGATGTTAAATGACAAATCAATTCTGCGAAATATATAATAAAATCTGACAATAGTCGTCCTTATCTTTTCCTAAAAATGAATATTTAAATTCGTTTCTCCGAAAGCCTTTCAAAGTTAAAATATCTCATTACCCCCGGGCATAGAAATATTCCATGCTTATAAAATGCTTTCCATGCTTATAAAATAATCCAGTATGAATGATTCTGTTAAAAATATTAAATAGCATTTACTTAAATTGAAACAGAAATTGAAATAATGCCCAAAACGTCTATTTTTAACAAAAAACGCTCTATCTAGCACAAAATATACTATAATCGGATAACCTAAAGCTCTATGGAAAAAGTTTTTATAGTGTTAATTATTTTTTTTAAATAAGTGTGGTATTTTTATATATAAGGATTTTAAATAAGTAGTGAATATTTTGAGAATAACTATTAGTATAACTCAGAATTAGATGCCCCCCTTTAAAGTTATTCCAAAAGATTTTATCGAAAATTCCAAATTTTAATTTCTAAAAAGTAAATATATACTTACCCTGCCATATGAATTTCTAAAAAAAAAGATTCGCAATGATCAATACAATTTGATTTGTGACGCCATAATTCATGTTTAACCAGCCTACGGCATACACATCCCAGTGTGTAAGGTTCACATTATTATGATTATACACCGAAGAGCCAATACATTATGACCACCCTGCTAATAACATGTAGGACCACCTTTAGCCCTCAAAACTGCTAGCACCCGCCGTGTGGTTGTGATTCCACAAGGTGCTGATATGTAATCTGAGGTATCTGGTACCAAGCGCTCACCAACTGGTCCTGTAATTCCCTCACATTGCACGGTGTAGCGTGGCAGCACGAATTTGATTTTCCAAATAGGATCACAAATGCTCTAATGGATTAAGGTCAGGTGAATTTGGTGGCCAAGACATGACTTGAATGTCACTGGAATGTTCCTCGAACCAATCCATGACAATTCGACCCTGATGACATGGTGCATTATCCTGTTGGTAAACATCATCCCCCGCAGGAAAAACTGCTGCCATGAATGAGTGAACCTGGTCTGCAACTATGTTCAAGTAGCTTACAGACGTCAGGGATTGTTCTATGAGGATTATGGGTCCTAATGTGCCCCATGAAAACATTGTTCCTGGGCGAGAAACCATGAAATGAAAACCTGTT